CAAAAGCGATAGAAACAAAATTACAAAAATTTTAAAATAAAAATAAAAATGGAAGAAGTATGAAAAATAGTTCTTCTGACGGAAATGTTATACTGAAGGCCAGGGTAGAGAAAGTGGTTGTACGAATTTCTTTTGGATGCAAAGGTCAGGTTTGTGAACATGGATTGCGATGGCTTCCGCAATATGCAAAAGGCGCACTCGTAAACCATGTGGTAGATTTGATGGAATATTGTAGATAACCTTAAAAGCTTTATTCACTTCGACTTGATGACCTGTGTCAACCAAGTGAGAGAGAATAGAACTTTTAATCACTTTCACCTGTCCTTTGCTTAGCCATGTTGGATGATGTTCTGTAATGCGCTGACGGACCTGTCGAATTGTACGCCCAATATAACTGGCTCCACAGGAGCAGTTGAAACGATAGATACACATAGATTTGGCGAATTCTGGCAGTCTGTCTTTAATGGATGTTCTTATTTTGGGTGGTTGTAGAAGATGACATTTAATTTGGCAGCATTGAATGTTTTTTGTACCGCTCTTCTTAGTTTCTGAGTCATGACTTCTTCAATGGTGTCATTTATGAATTGAAGTTTTATGAATAATACCTTCTTGGGGACAGTGGGTATTTTTACCTTTGTTTTCTTCTCCGTCATATGTTTTTCGATGAATTTCATTGGGTACCCATTCAGACTGAGTAGGTTCCGAATATTGTTCAATTCATCTTCAATAGTGTCTTCAGAACAGATCATTCTAGCACGATGTGTCAAGATCTTTATTAAGTTCCTTTTGTATCTAATTGGAACTGCACTGTGGAAATGAGTGTATTGACCAGCTGCTGACTTTCTGTGTACTCTTCTTTTTATAGTTCCGTCTGTTCTTCTAGTTAGTTGGACATCTAGAAAAGATATGCTATTATTTTGTTCATCTTCTGATGTAAAGTTAATTGATGGGTGAACGTTATTAAATATATTAAGTAAATTATGCTTATCATTTTCTTTTTCTAATACTATGAAGGTATCATCTATATAGCGATAGTAAGTTGGTAAATGGGTAATTGTACTTTTAAGTGGTCCATTTTCCAGTTTTGCAAGGAAAATATTGGCCAGTAGAGGGCCCAATGGTGATCCCATGGCGACTCCATCTAGTTGTCTATAGTATTCATTGTCAAATCTGAATTGGACGTTCATAGTGCATCTAAGAATTAACTGTTTTATCGCGCATGCGGGAATCGGGGTTTCTATGCGTCTCGCCGTTAGTTCATTGCAAATAAATTCAACCGTTTCGAGTAGTGGAATATTAGTGAATAATGATGATACGTCAAGTGATATCATGAATTTATTCTTGACTGATAGATTTTTTATGTTCTCCACAAATTCAAAGGAATCTTTGACACTATGTCTGACAATTTCTTTGTGTAATGGTTGAAGAATTTGCACCAACCATTTTGCTAAATTATGATACGCTGAGTTATTCATATCTAATACTGGTCTAAGGGGCAAGCCACTTTTGTGTATTTTCGGTAGGCCATATAGTCTTGGTGTAATTGTTCCTGTAGGTTTCAACATTTCGAACACCTTTTCTGAAATAAAACCTCGTTGTTTAATTTCTTTCAATGAATCAGTTAGTTGTTTTTCGATCTTGTCTGCTATGTCGTTTTTCACAGCCAGTTTCTGAAATTTGCTTTTATCATTTAGAAGGGCTTTCATTTTGTTTATGTAGTCATTTTTATCCATGAGTACTATCCCATGTCCTTTGTCCGGTTTCGTGATTAATAAATCGTCATTAGTTTTAAGTTTTCTTAGAGCTTCTGTATGTTTTTTCGTCAAAATCCCTTTCGTGTTATGTCTATGATTTACGTATTTAAAACAACAGTCGACTAGTGTTGATTTAAATCTTTCGACACTATCATTTGATGAAGTTACTAGTTCTGACGTTTGAGCATAAAGATTTTCGAATTGAATTTCAACGTCCATTTTATTTACTGTTTTCTTAAAGTCACAAAACTTAGGGCCTAGTGATAACGCTTCTAACGCAGTTTTGTCCAGCATAACACTAGAGAAATTGTGTACGTACTGTTCTGGATTAGATGGAAATTTCATTTCTGGAATTTGTTTGTCTAGATTTTTCTTGAGTTTCATTCTTTTCTTTTCTTTTCTTGAGTTAACAACCATCTCAACATATTCCAGATATTGTTCCCTTAATTTATCAGGGAGGTCTTCTACAGCGTAAATTCTCTCATTGATATTTTTTACCATCTCGGTAATGTATGAGTTTAGAGAATCGATTTGGTTAAGAGCGAAGCGTTTGAGAGTCCTTCCATTTGGTCGAACACGAGAGCGACGTAAAGATTTCCAATATAATTTTGGATACAAGTTGGTTTCTATACATTCCTTTATAAAATCAACATTTGTCATCGCCTCACTGAGCCTTGCGCTATACTTTAGATACTCATTGAGAACCTTTAACGCAAATGTTTGCTCAGAACGTTTCAATATAGTGAAAATTCCCATTTTGCCATTTGGTAAATTAAGAAGGAACGAATTGAGCGAAGAAATTTCTTTTCAATTAGTTTTTCATCATGGCT